CACACACACACACACACACACACACACACACACACACACACACACACGTTGTGCAGGTAACACTGCTCATGGTGATTGGCTGAGAGTCTGTGTGAGAATGGCTTGCCAGACCTCTAATTGGCTTGACCCAGACTAACCCTGAAATCCTATTGGACTAAGACTTCCCAGTCTACAGTGCGCACACAGAAACACACACACACACACACACACACACACACACACACACACACTTTGAAATGTACAGGGCTGTGCAAAAGCCTGTGATCAATGGTCAAATCAATAGTGTGTTTATATGCTGCAACAACAGAAACATTCTTCATGATAATGTTCATCAAGATAACCATGTCGGTTTGTGAGATCATGCAGCATTATGTCACTAACATCCAGACAGCACATCTTAACACATCAAATATTTTACAAATGTTTGCAGGCATATCTGAGCCTATTTGTGTTTACAATGGAATTGAATAATGTCATTAATCAAATGATAATTGAAAATGATTGGCAGTGCTGGGTTACGACACTCTCAGGTGAGAAAATAAAAATAGAATACAAACATGCCTAAACAAATTAAAGTTTTGCAATCTGGGGCTCTTTCTCTTCTCCAGAGAAAACTTACAATGATTAAAAGAGTGAGAGAGGAAGTGAGTGAGAGGATGAATATGAAGAGAGGGAAAGTCTGCCTGTGTGTGTAATGCGTCACACATTTACTGTGTTTCATCATGAAACAAGCAGCATATTTACAGTTTATGTTCTAAAAATGGACTAAGGCAGCCCTCAGTTTCACCTGCCTCATACAATACAAACGTAGAACTGCTTTCCACCTTAGAGCTGTAAAAATGGGCCTTTAGTTTAAACTTTTCATGCTTTACTGCAAATGCAGATGGCATAGGGGACTAATGTTATGGTAATAGTGACTGTCCTTCAACCAAATGATAGGATTTAAAGTCTTTGTGCTGCGATGCATTTGCACTACTGAAGTGTCCTTGAGCCAGATGTTGAATCTCGCTTTCCTTTGATGGCCCATATATATACCGTAAAATATAACTAAACAAAGATGGTGTTACAGGTGAAGAAAAAAAAATATGTAGCAGTATTAGTACATCATTCCAAAAATAAAACATTTGTCTTAGAACACCGAGTAAAACGTGTTAAGCAGAATTGGTAGTAGACTCTGCTCACATACACACACACGAAACTAAATATTATTATGAGGCAGAAAATAAAGCCCTTTCTCTTATCTTCTCTTTGCCATGGTTTCTAAATATTTATAGCTCAGTTACAAGTAAAAATTGCTGAGCAAAGGTTTAACACGTACACCAAATACAGTGAAAGCTTAGACTGGGCCTCACCGTGGACAATGGCCTGCTGTCACTGATAATCAGAAATATTAGGGTTTGTAATTATATGGAATCTTAGCACTATTATTACTCTATGAACCCATGCATTTTTTTTAACTCCAAAAAAGAAAATCAGATAAAATACAAACTGCTGATTCTGCTTTTTTCATGGCTATGCTTTTAAAAGAGGTAAATCTGCTTATTGCAAAGAGTAAGTTTCTAATCTAATAAATACTTGTCTGCAGAAAATGTCAAAGGTACTTCAATCAGTTCATACATATAGCCTTCTTCCATGGCATAAGGGAAGGAAGAAATACTTGGCGGAAGAAATTAATAAATGAAGACGAAGAAAAGATACATACAGAATATATAACCCTCGTACTTTAATAGATCGTAGAGAAACGTTCTCAGCACTATGTCTCTCTCTCTCTCTCTCTCTCTCTCTCTCTCTCTCTCTCTCTCTCTCACAGACAGATGGACCACTGAAAACACTGGCTTCTGATGTCTCAAAGTGCTCGTCTTTCCTTTCTTTTTCATCTGCGGTTTATAGAGGTCAAGTGTGCCTTTTGTGTAAAACTGAACCGAACAGATTCCTAGATTCTCCTTCTTCTACGTTTTTCACTCTTGTCCTTCCTTTTTTGTGTGTCTTTGGTCCCCTCTTCATTGGGTCTTACCTGGGGTTGTAGAGGGCATGTGCGTCTCTCATGTGGTTGGCCTCCAGTGGATCGTAGCTTTGGTGCATCCTCCAGGCGCCAGCGCCGCATTTACTATAGGTTGACTTGGAGATATCGTCACTGCTGCTGTTCACCAATGGCCCCTTCGATAAGTTCATTCTGTAGGCGGGGACAAAGTGAGAGAAGAAGGGGTGAAAATACAGCCAGTGTGGAGACATAACCTTTTTAATGCTACTTTGGGGGTGTTTGATTAACTATCAAACTATTTACTATCAAGTAAAAAATACAAAATCTGTTATAAAAAAAAAAGAAAACATACTATAAAGAATGTGGAGAATTCTTTTGGGAAATGGATGGAAAAAAGAAAAAATGTAATAATAAAATAAATATGAGTTACAAAGGAAGCTAATGCACACGCAACACACATACATTCAGCGTTGGCTTTTTGTTTGTCCTAATGCCCGCAGGTCACATAACAAACAGCTACAGAATACGCAGACGGTGACAGTATACAACTAAGTACAGTAGTTGTGTAGTCGTGCACAGGCAGGACACAGGTCTAGGGGAAATATACCCCTACTACACTAACTGTTTTGTTTTTAATGTGACACAGGTCATGTATTATATTGTTTACTATTGCTTTACACACTTCATCAAAAAACAAAAAAAAGAGTGTATTTCTCAAGTCAATCACAAATGCTAGATAGATAGGACAGTCAGGTTCGAAGACATGTGGAACGACAGACCGACGCACAGGCCGACATGCTGAGGGCACCGACGAGCAGACAGACAGACAAGCTGTCAGCCAGACAGATGCACAGTGTGCCTTTAGACCAGTACACGAGACCTTTGTCCTGGAATGAGTTAAGAAATTCCTGACAAATACATGTCCGTGAGCTAGATGTGGAGGATGCTTCAGGCTGCTAATTGAAGCACACCCTGGCTGTGTTTAACGTCAGAGGAGTTTTATCAGTTTTAGCCTTTACAAAGAGGCTTTCAGACTGAGGGAATAAAAAAGTAAAAGCACCCGAGGAGGGACTGCTATCCGTCAATCAAAACCAGCACTGTCGTCAGGGGAGGAGCTGTCGCCGGGGTGATAAGGTCACTTTGGGCAACAGAATCAAAACCATCCATTGCAAAAAAATAAATAAAAAAATAACACGGCATGCGAAAAAAACCGACAATACTTAAAGCTGACGTCAAAGAGGAGAGAAGGCCATTTATAATAAAATGGCCTGCGTGGCCTATATTTAAACAAAAGCATCAGGGGAGAATAGAGCGGGCTGCTGGGAAGAAAAGCACTTCATTACCGTCGGACAACATATAGAAAATACAGGAACTAATTTGGACTGGGGAACAATTGTCAGAACACAACTGGTAATCGTTGTAAAATACTGCATTAGAGACGCCTGCTGGCAATGCTCGAGGCCTCCCTGTGCTTTACATTTTGAGCATTTTTATGTATTTCTTGCATAATGACAGACAATTATAAAATGATTATGGGCCTAAAAAGGGAGGAATAAATTAATATCTATATTTAACTTTAAAACTCTGCTGAGAAATATACAAAGTGAAAAAGTATTTTTTTACATTGGTTTATGAAAAATACTGACCAATCTTTTCATGTCAAATCAAAAAACCTGGGAGCTGTTTAAGTAATGCAAGGAGCTTAGTCATAATCTTATTTCTCCTCAGTTATTGTTGTTTTGGTTTAGCTGGACTTTTCCTGTCATTACCACGTGTGTATGTCAGTGTGTGTGTATGTGTGTGTTATCTCAGACTTTGTGTATCCGTAAACAGAGCAGGATGTTGGTATGTGTCACAAACACATGTTTAGCACACAAACACACACCACACAGAAATGTGTGTGTACGTAGCTGTGTGTGTGTGTGTGTGTGAGACGGTGTCCCACTGTGGGTTGCGGTTCAGGTGAGGGCTACGTAGTCGGACAGGTAGACAGACCAATCACTCGTCTGACAGCCACCCTCCCTCCATCCACAGAGCTGGGTTGGCTCAGTGAGAGGTGGAGGGCCAGTGTGTGTAATATGTAGGTTTTAGTTCCACTCTGGTGAAAAGGAGGAATCGATATCTCGCTGCTGCTGCTGCTGCTGCTGCTGCTTCAGACACTTATTGGCTTTGGTTGCGGTGTCACAATGCTGTATAGACAGGCAACACTTAATACTGCTTTTTTTTTTATTGGGGGAGTGTCCCGGTGTCACAGCAGACTAAGGTACACCCACTACCATGTATACATGATGTTGTTAGTTTCCTCATCTCCGTCTTTCACGTTGCATACAAGCCTTTATGTGAATTGTGTCGTTCTGCAGGCAAACACAACAGACAGTAAATGGAAGTAGAGGTAAATAAAGGGGAAGAAAGAGGGACACATTCAACTGATATTATAACAATGAAGTGACTTACTTATTTAGCTTTACATCCTCATTACCACAAACTATGAGATGCACTTTAGAGAGAAAGTCTGAGTTTAACAGGTTTTGAAATAAAATCACAATTTCAATATTTAAGCTAAACAGCAAAAGGCTTTTTTTTTATTTAGAAGAATTCACCTCCAGCCACTTTTTTAATACATCATACCTTATGGCAAGGTAATTGGATATTTTTACCGATATCTTTATTCATCCCAGAAGATTATATTTAGGCTGAGAGGCATCTTGAAATCAGCAGACAATCATTTAAATCAGGCATCAACAGCCGTGTGTTATTCTATTCAATAAAGGGTCATTTTACAAGAGAAGAAGTACACGCGGTATTGGTTCAGTAATAATTATGATTAAAAAGGCAGTTAATATCAAATTTAGTCTCTGCCTAATTTTATTCATTGTAAGCATTCAAAAGCTTAAAGTATTTACACATCAACACAATAAATAGCTCAGGTCATAAATTACACTTGCATACAAAGTAAAAGGAGAGAATAAAGGAGAGGAGTATTAACCTATGTGATTCTACCTGACCTGTTTCACGCTCCTGTCACTACATGTAAGCTGCACCAGCACACACATGCACACACACGCACACACAATGGATGTGAGGTTTGTGTGTGTGTGTGTGTGTGTGTGTGTGTGTGTATGAGTGTATAAAAGTAGGGAGATCGTGGGTGTCTTTCTGATGCTCAGTGACTCACTCATGTGTTGCTGGCCCATCTGTGAACAGAATGACCATGACACAATAAGTGTGTGTGCGCCTCTGTGTGTGTGTGTGTGTGTGTGTGTGACATGGTGATGCAGTGATTGATGAGACAGTTGCCATTCTTGCTAATGCAAAACGCACCTATCCCTGAAGGGAGCAAATGCCACAACACACATACACACACACATGCACACACATATACGCACAGGGCTGCAACTGCCCTACCTAATTACCCCTCTCGTCAGGGCAGTGTGATGTCTTCCAGTCACATATCCCATAAATATCCACATATGTGTAGTTCCATAAACATTCATAAACAAACGTTACATACAATCATGAACAAAAAACTAAGACGACAAATGAATTTGCAGAATAATCCAGTCCACCTCTTCTGCTTCATTAGAGCATAAATACACACTTTTGCCTGCAACAATTTGCAATAACACAAACTGGACAAAGCGCAATAGGAAAAAAAATGTAACTGTTCAATTTCTTGCGTCTTATAAATAAAACTGTGGCTCTTTTTCTTTTAAAAACTAGGCTCCTAGGTACTGAAATGTGGTGAGACTGTACACATTGTACTGTTATTCCTAATATATTGAGATGTAATTGTTGAAAATGTAAATGTAATATCTGCATATGTGATATAATAATGACGTATTTGTAAAATATCAAGTGTCATAAATAGAGTCTAACAACGACATGTATTTGTGTATGTGTTGGGGAGACTTTAAATTGATCATTACATAATCATAAATACTGAGCGCATAAACATATTTATGTGTGTGATTATGTTTCTCTGGGCAAATGGCATGTGCATCAGGGCAGGTGGGGTTCGACGCTGCAGCCCTTTGTGTGTCTGAGTGGATGTGGATGTGTGTGCGCGTTAGCGTTAGCGACGGGAGCTGTTAGTGGGGCAGGCGGCAGATGGGCTGTCGGCCTTAATAGGGACTGAGCGGGTGCAGAAAGGTGACAGCTTCACGAGGGAGGAGTGTGTGGGAAGGGAGAGGAGGGAGTGTGTGTGTGTGTGTGTGGGGGGGGGGGGGGAATGGTGAAGGAAGAAGGGGATAAAGGGGAAATGGATTGTCTGCGGAGGTCAAGAAAAGTGCGTATCAGCCTAATAGAGGAACACAGCTATTGAGGACAAGAAGCGCAACGACATACCTGAAAAAGTTCAAAAACGGTGATCGACGCTGTGGGCATTTCTGCACTTCTTCATACATAAAGTGCTCGTTCGTTGTCATATCTGGTCAGATATGGTCTTTAGTTTGTTTATGAAAAAGGCCGATTGTGGAGCTCCTATTTATAACCACATGTATATTTTTTGCGTATATAATGCTTATGTAAAATATGAGACTTAGATCAACATATGAAAATGAAAATGTGCTGCTAGTTTCTACAATGTCACAAGCACAACTTAAGTCATGTTGCCCGTTCTGCCGCAGACACAGAGTTAAAACACACAATAAAAGTGCACACAGAAACATGGGCCATTCCCACGCAACATTTTTCTTTTACAGCCACACACAGCCACAGTGTTGCACATTTGCAAGGGACTGAGATGAATCGGGGGGGGGGGGGGGGGGTAATGTGGGGGCAAAGAAACAGGAACACCATTTGTAAATCTGCAGGATGAGCTGCATCCTCAACAGATTTGTTAGAGACCTTTCCCTTTCCTCACACCAAAGAAACTTTTATCTATACATTTCTTATCTATTTTACACAAACAGGCACACATTATGTACTAAACTATTTGCACTAAGAGACATTTCACTATTTTTCCTTTATCAATAGAATCTCACGAGTGTTACGCTTCGGTGTATGAAAGCTTCTCAGTGGTTATTGAATCACTATTCTCTGATTTAGAAAAGGCTATTGTAGGATAGTTAAATGGAGCTTATTTGTCACGAGCACGATAAAGTTGGTAAATTACACCGACGGAGATGCAAAGTACTGAAAGGGATGCACAGAGAGAGAAAAAGCAGAGAGAGGCAGACTAAAAAAAAACTAAA